ATGACATTCAATTCAATTCAGGAGCTTTAAAAGCCAATGCTAAAAAAATTACAAATGACCATAAAAAACAAAAAGGAGGAAACTCAAAAGAAAATGACTCAGAGGTTATTTATGCAGCTGTACTGTACACTGTGTCATTCTCACAGCTGCTAAACAGCTTTCATGAAAAAGGAAATCAAGATTATTTAATTACCATCACTCCTGGACCGGGTGCTCACCCTGTGGGACTATTTATTCAAAGCAATAGCACCAATTTAATTAGGATGAGTCTGCGTTTATATTTGGCAGGAAAATATTGCCCCTTTAATAAGATGTGAATGGCTCATTTTGTGGTTAAGAAATATAATTGACAAAACAAAGTCATAAAGGTTTAGAGGCTAGAATTAGGTTTGAAAAGGACTGATTAATATATGCAGACAGAAGATTGTAGACATTTTATTACTTAAAGAAAAATTATAAAAAACCTAACTTGCTGTACAACAGAACTGGAAACTGAGAACATTTTAAAAGCATCACTTATACTTCCTAAGGCTGTATTTTATTACAATAGTCTATCTAATATATTGTGTTTTACCAAGGGAAGACCAGAAACAGCTGAGACAGCAATAACAAAACACATCAGGGCCCCGTCTCAGAAAGTGGGATCAAAACTTTCCAGAGTAGAGAGCAGTTATGGTGATTCAGGATGGGATTAGTCAACTAATTGGGCTAAGTAAAGAACATTCATATCAAGAAGGTTTAACAAGTGACAGTGTATGAGTGAGATTTGATAGAGAAATAATTCTTTATCCTAAACATTACCTTTATTTAACATTTTAAAAATGAGTGTGTCGGTGTCCTCATGTCTAGGTGTAAACCAGCAGGTGCAAAAAAAATCCAGATGCTGGATAATAATCCAGCATCTGGATTTTTATTGATATCATACACAGCAACAAGTTCAACTTCAATTTAATGACTGCATTCATGATTACATCATCACACAGAGCTGCTAGTGGTTTATATGTTATATTTGTTAATTAGTTACCCTTTTAAAAAATTTTTATGTCAAACATGATGCCTTTATTTACATGTTGAAGTATATGGTTAAATCTAGGGCTGCAACTAACGATTATTTTGCAAATCGATTTGTCTGTTGGTTATTTTTTCAATTAATAATCAGATAGCCAGAGATTCCTTAAAGAAGATTTTTGAAAGAAATTATATCAGGTGAAACTAAAACTTTTCCACTGCAGGAGTTCTGGTTAGATCATACTGATGCACGAAACCACTGTTTTTTTTTTCATCTTAAATGCAACATGTTTTTGTTTTATTATTATTATTTTTTTAACACTCATTGTATAATTACTGCTCTAAAGCCGGGCATACACTGTGCGATATTTTCAATCGTTAGTCGCAGCTAGAGCTCACACTGTGTGATTTCACAGCTCAAGATGTATGCTCTCACACTGCAGCATGACGCTCTGATGCGATCTACCTGCTCACACTGCACGACTTAAAACCCCATCGGACTCAGCTCCGCAGTGATGATGGCGCTACTCAGACTCGTCTATCCAGAAGCCAAACGAGTAGAAGAGGAATATGAAGATCACTAGAGTGAAATGTGCTGCCTTGGCAATTTGTGTCCTGAAAGCCCAAAAAAGAAAAGGTGGTGACGTATTTGGACAAAGACACGGCTGAGCAACCGTGGCTACTATGGTCTGTCAATTTTACAGAAAGAACTCCATTTCACCCGCACCCCCGCTATGCTTCTGTGTTTACATCTGAGACGAAGAAGAAGAATCGTTGTTTGCGCATGCCCATTGAGCGATTTGCCCACGGCGGTCGACTGAAAATCAAATAAGTTTGATCGGGAGGTGGTCGTGAGAGGGTGATTGCCCCTGGTTACCCCCTGTACACTACACAACGCACGATTAGGTTGAACGTCGGCCTGATCAAAAAATTCTCACACGACTGGAAAGTCGGCCCGAAAAGGGCAAAAAATTGCATAGTGTACGCCCAGCTTAAGAGGGTCGCTCTGTCAGCATGTTTTACAGTCTCTATACTCCAGTAAACAATTAATCGATTACTAAATAAGTTGATTATTATTTTAATAATCGATTAATCAGGATTAATCTGATCTATTCAGCCTCCTGTTAAATCCATCAACTGTAATATCAGATTGGTATCGACCCATACGCTCAGCCAATGCATTATATTGGATTGGATCAGAAAAAAATTGCATCTCTACTTGAAATCTCTACTTGAAACTGGGAGATACTAATTATTGCCTTCACTGGTAGCTGCAGTTGTCGATTTGTAATAATGAAACGCCTAAAAACTGTGTTTGTGAATGTTGGAAGGTTAATCTAATGACTCTACGTTGTTCTATTCTGATTTCCTTCATAAGATTTTTAAAGGTTGAGGAGAAAAGATATTTTATGAGTGCTTCAAGTCTGTATTCAAACAAACATAGCAGGTCAGGAAACTCTTCTCTCTACCAAAGGAGAAGGGCAACAGTTGAAATAAAAGATGATCAATCTGATGAACTTCTGACAGCTTGCCTTCAGCTTAAAAATTAAAAACACACAAAAATAACTTTTCCCTCATGTGTCATATGAGCAATATATGACTGAAATTGTTTTAGATTCATTACTGATTCTGTATATATAAAAAAAAGGATGCTCAAAATTTAAAAAAATTGTAAAAATAAATAAATAAATCTCATGGTCTGGAGCGTAATGAGGATGTGCTTGCCAACATCTACAGGTATCTGCAATAAAGAACTCTTCATTTATGACACTTTTCAGAAAATATCTCAATTCAAATGAGCAACAGATTTAGGATAACTTCAGGAAATCATAGAGTATTAATCTGTCTCAGGATTACGGCTGTCTGGCCTTCTGAAATCTAAAATTCTGGGTATGCAGGACGGGGGCCTGATGGTAATAGACACAAGCAAAACGTTGAACATCAACATCAACACAATGATATTAACTGATCTATAGAGAACATTTCCTCCTCTTATCATAGTTTCCTCCTGATGTCTGTTACTGTAGAGACCTACAGGGACAGACTTCACAGCTGAAAAGATGATGCATCACTCAAATACTGTATTAGACCGTCCTCAGCTTGGTTTCAATTATTTTTCCCTCAGTATATGCTTCTGTAATACTAGCTTTTTGTAGCACAGCTCTTTTGTACTAAACAGTTTTCCAATTTTCTCCAATTTTTTGACGACAGGCTGCAAATTGTAGTGAACAATCATGTTTCATGGTGTGTTCAGACTGTTCAGACTTTGTCAACATTATTTTCTTTATTTTCCATTTTTCTAGTTTCTCCTGCTTTCTAGCATCTTACTTCACAACAGCTAGACCCCGATTAGCTTTCATGAATATACACAAAAGTTCATATTTTTTTAATTCCTGCAAATTTTGCTTCACATACTTTGTTCTGGTTTCACTATATCTACCAAAAATGTGACCTCTGCCTCACTAGAATAATGACCTTTGCCTCTATCTCAAAGTGTTCCAAATATCTGAGCCACTCGCTACATAGAGGTAAGGCATAACTCCAAGCACAATATTCGCACCTTAAGATCATTCTCTGCTTGGTTTTAATTATACAGTTATGTGTATTTATTGTACGTATAACTGTTTTCCAATTTCTCCAATTTTTTAAAGACAGACTACAGATTATAAAAAAAAAAAAGATGTTTTAGACTCATGGCAATTTGTATTGGTGTAAAATGCCGTATAACTTAAATATGCACTTATATGGTATGTACTGAGCTGCTCTGATTTAAATTTTCTCCAAGGATTAGCTGCTGGTTACTCTTTTGTCTGATTTTTTCTCAAAGGTTCATGAACCACAAAAAAAAAAAAAAAAATTTGGCTATAAAAGAAAAAAGAAGTGCTTAATATTTCCCAATAGACGCATTGGTTTTTAGAGATTATTAGATTTTTCCCATCTTTTTTTTCAAAGCTCATGTTCCATACAAATTGCTTCAGAAGTGTGCTTGAGCATTTATAACTGTTCTTTTTAAATCCTTATGCATTTTATGAACAGGAAGGAGGAAAAACTGTACCAAGCCTATTGATTTCTTCACTCATCGTATACAGTATAATTCTGTTATCCTGGTATTTTTCTAAGAAATGCATCAAAAGACATAGATCACACATCTTAGCATAAAAATCATTTCAGGGAATTACAATTCTGTTGAAAAACATCACTGAAATCTCCATTAGGACAGATGGAAAATTAGCACACAGGGAATCACAAAGTTATGTAAATTAGAGAGATTTAAATATAAGAATGAGGAAAAAAATAAGTATGATGCCATTAAAAATGAGCAGCTTGATAATTATAAATGTAATTATAAATGTTAATATATATTTTTAGATTGGATTAATTAACCATGTAATTAAGAAAACAACAGCTGGCTCTTGCTTTCATTATTATCTGCATCTTTGTACTTTTGAAAAAAAGTGTAAAACAAACTTTTGCGTTTGTTATTTGTTTTTTCATGATTAAATATCCCCTACAATCAAACAAAATATCTGAATCGTTAATTTTTCTTAATTCAACCAATGACGTTTTTTCTTACTAGAGATTTATCAATATATTAGCTGGTCCCGTTATTCAGCACTAAGAAAAGTTGATTTTAAAGGCTTATAAAACATAATTTATTAGGCAGGCCTGTCCCAAATGTTTATAAAGTGTTTTCCTTTATGAGAGCATCTTTCCTAATAGATCTGGTCCTGCTGTCAGATATTTGCTGCACTGTTATCTTTATAATGAGGGGTTATGCGAGCCTGTTTATTATAATAAATGTTATTTTAGAAGCCTTGCTGTAAAGTTAAAAACATTTTAACAATGAAAAAAGTGTAATAGGCAATAGCCTACGTTTCTAAACCAGCGACACGGTCCCGCTGTCCGTTTGTGACACAATCAAAGCTCCATACATTTATTAACAGTTTGTCAGAAACAGAACATGACAGAACAAACTACATTCTGTTTCTTACCTGCGGCCACCCCGCTGCTTCACGAGCTTCTGGGTTTATTATCAACGCTGAGAGTTTCTGAGTCACGAGCCCAGTGTTCTGCAGTGGACGGTCTCGTGCAGCAGTGCAGCTCTCCCTGCTCCGCATGAAGATACCGCACGCGCACAGGCTGGGCACAGAATGGAACTGCAGGCACGAGGCAGTCGCGAGCCGCTCCAATCAACCTGTTGCTTACGTCACCGCATCTCCACGGGTCCATGTAATAATAATTAGCTTTAGATACCTGTATTTGTATTCCCCAGAGCAGCACACAAGAGGCGTAGCCATAAAATGTTTATAAGGGTGGCCAGGCAATAACCAATGTATACTGAGGGGGGGGGGGGTTGGAGAAAAAGATGATAGGCACCGGAACCTCAGGGTCAATCTACACTGTTCCAACAGGAACAAGCACAACGTCCATGTTCCTAAATAAAGACAACTATAGTTTCCTACAGCCTTTGCTAACAAATAGATCCAAATATTTAAACATCCATTTAGATAAAAGCTATATTTGATCAAAATTCTTTGAGGTTTGAGTACTAGAGCAAACATCTTTTCCATCGTCATTACTTACCTACTTCTATCAATATTATACATTAAATTGATATTTACAAGTACTAATATCAACATAAATTGATAAATTAATAGGTTTTTATTAAAATTGTTATTTACTGACGACTCTTAGATGACTTCCAGAGACACATCATTTTCTCTTTACGGCATATAACGCAAAATCTAGTTCTGAAACAGCATGAATTCTGTACTAATCATCTCTAATGTTGCTATATTGATGTGCATAATTAACCACAGTGTCTTTGTTGTCAAGTAATTGTTAATATATATAAAATTAAAATTTTTGGAATATTCTACTTGAGAGAAAAAAATGGTAGGGGTGGCCACAGGGGTGGCCAATGATTGGTTAAGGGCGGCCATGACCACCCCTGACCCCCATCTAGCTCCGCCCCTGAAGCACACCCCTAAAGTTCACGAAGAGATTATTATACAAGGTTGAAAATTATTTCACTATTTTATGTTGATACTGGTTCAAAGGTTAAGGTGTTCCTGTTGATTTTTTGGGGGGTTGTAGAGATGGAACAAAAGAATGGGTCCCAAGACTGTATATTGGGTTTTGCCGATGCAAATTAGACTTAATTATTCCAGGTTTAGTGACTTGAGGCAAATCCACTTTTGCAAAACTTTTATTCTCCCAGGTCTTTCATTTATCAGTTAGCCAGAGCAACCATGTCCTACTAAATTTCAAACCTTCCTTATTAAAACTGTTTAATGTTATAGAGGCTTAGGTGATTTTTAGCCATCTCTGTAGCAATGCTGCTATTGGTTTATGCTGCTGGAGAACACGCTTACTTTTCATCACTCCACTACATTCTTTTGTTTTTCGCTTTATAATAGCTATATCTGGCCAAGAGTTTTGTTCAACCCTGACACCTTAAGAAGGTATTAGCTGGGCTGCTGCCAAAACATTATGTTTAACTTTGATACCGGTATATGAAACCAGAGACGGTCCTGGACCAAATTTGCCAAGGGAGACAGCTTGGGTGCATAGGATAAAACAACCAATCATGTCAAAAGTTTCTTGTTTGATGCATTAAGTGAATCAAGGAGCCATTTGCAGACCTAGAAACCTCAGATCCAGCAAATTAAAATGAAGAGCCTATCTCAGTATGACTGAAAAGCATAACTTCATTTTTAAATAATCAATAAAATGATAAAGTAAATATAACAAAGTTAAATCTCTCCTCTGGTTTCTGTTCCTGCACATATCATTTATTTAACATATTTTTGTTGCCATTAGTACAGAGGAGATAAAAGGGGCCAGGACTACTTCTGCAGGGGTACACTCCCCTGTTTCCCCCTGTCTAGAAATGACTGTGGATAAAATACTATGAAGTAGGGGTAGTGCCATTCACTCTGCTTTTGTTTAACATTAAAACATTATCCAAGGGTAATGCTTCTGTATTCTTTGTGTGTCTGCACTGCTGTTCAGGCAAAGCCTGGTTCTGCTATAGATTCCTTCCGGTTAAAGTTGAGGTTTCCTTTCCACTGACAATGCGGAAGCTATAGTCAATAAGTCGATGCAATCTGTTCGGTTTCTTTATCTGGATTTCTTTTAACAATTAGAATAAATTGAAATTCACTTCAAGATTTGATGACTGGATCAATAAGAGTGCATGTTCCTGTCTTTGTGATTGCATTGAAGTCCCTTGAGACAACGGGTTGGTGCTCTTTAAATAAACTGAATCATTACAGTTATATTTCTAATGCATTTTTTAAAAAAAATTTCATAATGTTGTGCTTTATTGTATTCTACTAGGAGACGATATTATTTATTATCTTCAAAGTGTAACTTGTCCCATATGAAAACATAACCCTGCTCCAGATAAATTTGGAAAAATGCCATCTAAGTAGTCGGTGCCAATAGACCCTGAAGAGCAGGGCTAAGCGTAGGTGGGTGAGGGTGTTAGCAGGAGTGTCGTTAGGAATAGACAGTAGTCATTGCCAATAATCAGTTGTGTGCATTTTATTTGTTGTGGCTGGCTACTGTTTTCCATTTTGAATGTATAGACATTGGAATAAATTACCTAATATATAACTACATAAGTTGTTTTATGACTAGTCTCCACATAGTACTGTCTATTTGAGAACTACTCTACTTCGATTGTTTTTTAGAAATTAAGTGTAATTTAACTACTTTCTATTTCCATATTACCGGTACATGCGTAATGTAATGACACACTCTGTACATCTTGGCATGAAAACATACTTTAATCACCAACAGAAAACAACAGGCATCATTAGCTGTTTTTGTTGATGATCCATTTGAGTCTGTTATTCATCAGAAGTTGGTGGTGTGCTGCAATAATCAACCCATTAACACGAGGCAGAAGGGGGAGCGACCCCCTGCTGACACGGAGCACAAGACATTTCCAAACACACAGAAGTGTCAAGCTGCATTTGGTGTTACGTAATCACCAGCAGCCCTGTTCTGGTCTGAATTTCAATCACTTTCTGAAACCTTTGCATTTCTAAAACCCTCAGGTAGGCTTTCAGAAGAAAAAAGATCTGCTTCTAAGGGTTTTCTTCACACACTGGTAAAGAAAGATATATCAAATACGAGGAACAATTTGATATTATGTAGGATAAAAGATCCTGCATATAATGAGAACATTTCTTTAATTAGATGTCTGTAGAGTCATGAATTTATACCAGGCATCAATGAACTCCTCTTTATTTAGGATGTATGCAGCTCAGGAGTGAGATTTTAGGATTTTTGCTAAATGTGTATGTATATTTATGAATAACAAAAACAACTACTCAATCTTTAGAGGACCAAAACACTGCAAATATAGCAGAGCAGTATATTTAGGTGGCAGTGATGAAATCTAAAGGATAAAGGAAGAAAGGATCTGTGATAATGCTTCTTTGTGCTGCTAGGATGCAGCACTCTGTCAATGAAGGGCTTTACATCAGCTTCACCCATTGAGTTGGATACATTGTTCAACATATCATCTTTACCAGATTACCCCTACCATAAACGTTGGCAGGGGTCTCCTACACTCCATATTTTCCCACCCCTCTAAACAGGTAACATAACCATTGTGAAGAATGTCAGTGTTATTACTCAGAATTTCCACTTTAAAGTCACCGAAAATCATCTTTAAACTTTGACCAACCATACAAAAGCAAACAAGTTATTGTTTCCCAAATCCAACTGTGCCAATCTAAGAAAATAAGGTAAATCTTATGTCAAATAAGTCCTGTTATGACATTGGATGTGTGGGCTATGAAAATCAGCAGCAGGTTTTTACAATGAAGATTATTTAGAATCAGTGCCGCAATACGGTATGTGGTTTGGAGGCATCACTGCTTGCAAAATTACTTCTTTTTCTAATTTAGTCTTTGGTACACTGATGCGATTCATTTCATTTAGGTATACTAATTTACACATACCTGTGAGGCAAGGGAAATACATTTTGCATCAGGTTTTTCAGGTTATTTAAGATACAAATATGAAGAAAATGCATTCAGCCTTTCTGTCAGAACTTTGTAAAAGTAACAATAATTACAGTTTCCGCTTTATTTTTTTTATTTTTTTTTTGCCATTTTCTCCGTGAAATCATTTCAGCTAAGATATGAAGCATTTGTGTAGAGTAATAATCAAACTCACTAGATTCTGTTAGATTTGAGTCTGGACTTTAATATATCCAAAAAAGTAATAGGTGACTTTGGTGGGAACTGGATTGTTTTGATTTTATTTTGCCAAAGGAGCTGCATGGACATGAAAAAAAAACTATTTCCTTCCACTTCACAATGACTTTCATTAAAATGTGAAAGTTTGAGAGGTGTGATTTCTTTTTTTTTTTTTTTATTTCTGTGGAGAGAAAAGTAAACCTCTAAATAAAAGACAGAACAGCTCAAAGCGAGCCAGTCCCAGCAGACTGGAATTAAACTGGGCAGCTCCCAGGTGTGAAATGGTGTCTGAAGGTTGCAGAAATGTTAGAGTGACAGACTGTAGGTTATAGATCCACCTACACTGATAACGGTGCTCAAACACAATCTGAATGAGCCTCTTTCTCTGCTGATGTAACTCCTACGCAGAGCGTTGCCAGGGAGATATGGAGCACCTTTAATCATAATGCGTTGAATGTGGTAAATAAAGGCAAAAGGGTCGCTACGGTAACATTATACAGGCAGCTTGCATGAAGGAGAACCCTCCCACCCACAGCCCCGGGATGACTATCTGAATTCAGTGAGAAACACACAAAGCAGCTTTAATCTTCGGCATTGTTATAGTCTCCAATCATCAAATATTAAATGAAGGAACTGGTAAATGAACGGGGAGCAAACCAGCATGGCAACAAAAGCACCCAACAACCTGCAGTGGATGGTCTCTGCATTACACGTTGCTAATGCAATGGCTTTTTGATACTTGTAGAGAACATATCTTGAGTTGGCATTAGCAACCTAACAGAGACAATATCATCCTAAGCAATGACAAAGCAGTTATCTAACAACCATTGGAAAGAATTCGGTATTCAGGTGATTAGTTCAAGGGACACTTTCAATTTCTAAAAACACTCACAGACCACTTTTATCAACTGTGCATCCAATCATGTGACTCTCCCATTACACAACATCCCAAAGGTGCTCTCCTGGAGTGATATATGTTGACTGTAAAGGCAAGCAAAGCCTTTATTACATG